ATAAATTTTTATGGGAGTAGAAAGCCTCATCTTTCTTCCCTCGAAAGGATGGTGGTTTCCAACTTCTGACTTTGCAGGTAACAGCCCAATGTGTAACCCATTACGCCACCAAGACTTCTAAAAAATAAATTTCAGATAGGGTCTGACAATTTTTGACATAGACAATTTTATAATAATTTGTTTAGTGATTTCCATGTTTAATATTTAAAGATAATATTACAGTTGGGATATTAGCATACTATAGATAAAATTGTGTATTGTAAACGATTGAATAAACAGCATTAAACATTGAATAAGAAAAAAAAGAAATACCAATAGTTACCTAAGACCAACATGTTGTATAAAAGTTGGTGTAGTTCACTTATTTGCTTCTTTTCTTAATTAGTGCAGGTAAATGGCTGAAATATTTCCATTTAAATGGAAATTTTGAAAATATTTCCTTGAATTTTCCTTAATTTTTTTTTACCACCACCAAGTTTAATTCTGGAGGGAACACTTAGAATATCTGCTTGGCTTTGTAGTTATTCGTTTTAAGTCCAATATCTTAGTTTGCTAGTGCTGCTGTAACACAATATCAAAAGTGGGTAGCTTTAAAGAACAGGCTTTTCTTTTCTCACAATGCTGGAGCATAAAGATACAAATCAGAGTGTGGGCTGTGTGAATGCCTTCCTAGTCATTAGACCCCAAAATTCCTTAGTTACTTTTGGGGGGGACAACTTTTAGATATCCTTAGAGGGCCATTTGTTTTCTCCTGTGGGTATGCCTCTGCGTCTATTCTGGTCTTTTTCAAATTAATCTCTTTTTTAGAGAGCTAATGGCGTGGTTGGGTGATCTGACATCGCATATTTGTGTTGTAGGTGCACTTACTTTTACTCTTCAAAAACTTAAAGAGATTGACTCCGAGGAGGGGATAGACAAAGTACTATCCACTAAAAAATCATCATCAGTTCCATCTGAAACTCAGGAAGAAGAAGAGGAGGAGGAAGAAGAAGAAGAGGAAGAAGAAGAGGAAAAAGAAATAGTTGTAAACGTAATAGAAGGAAAAGCAATATCAGAAATAACAGAAGAGGAATCAGAAGAAACAACAACAGCAGAAGAAGAAGAAGAAGCAGCTGAAGAAAAAGCAGAAGCAGCAGCAGCAGAAGAAGAAAAAGAAGACCAATCAAGTAAGTTTATCACTGTGGGGAGTTTCATGATCCATCTATATAAACCCTCATCATCAGTCACTTGTAAATAACCTAGATAGTATGATAGAGATCTGTGTCGGTTGTGTATTTTGGGGGGGGGAGGGGATGGTCGAGTATTGCATTATGTCAAGATTAACTGTAGATTGCTTACTTTCTGGAGTTATACTGCTATCAACACTAATATAAGTATTAATTTTGATCCAAAAAGTCTGTCAGTGTCGTGGATGGTCTATTAGGTAGGTATGACACCAATAAAAGCGAAGCTCAAAGGAAAACTAGAAAGCAAATTGAATTTATTACTCATAGGTTTCAGAGAGGAAGCTACAGCATACCTTGATGTAGGGCCACACAGGGGGAACGTGTCAACAAGGTAGAATTGTAGTAGATAGCTTATATATGTATGCCAAACCATGTGGCATACATGGCTCTTGGGGTTAAAAAAAATCAGCAAAATAAAATTGTGGTCTGCACTTTTGGGTCATGCCTACAGGTTAAAAGAAATATATTGCATAGTTAAAAATAAATAGATTTCTATACATATTGATAGATCACTCATTCTTTATGAAAACTCACATATTGATGAATGTAGTACTCGGTTATTTAACTATTCCTACTCTGATGGGCATTTCTTTTCAGGTTTCTACTTCAGCAGGCTATTTACAATAAATGTCATTACATAGTGATGCCCTTACTTCGAAAAAAATCAAAAACCTTATAAATTTCAGCATTTCCAAAAGTTGGATTTCTGGTCAAAGAGCATGTGTATTAGCAGATAGATAAAATCCAGGTCAATGGAGCAGATAAAAAGCCTTTAAAGAAACACAATGATACAAAATGTTAAATAAAAGCTTACTCCGTGGGAAAAAGCAAGTTATTCAGTAAATAATATTGACAGTTTATTAACCTCTTGATTTAGAAAAAAATTACATTAATTACATATGATGTACCAACAAATTCTAGATGGATTAGATAGCTTTGAAAAATGAAATTAAAAAGTACTAGAAAAATATACAAATTAGTGTATGGAATCCTGTGATGACACTATGGGGTAAGCATTACATTGCTAACCACATGGATGGTGGTTCAAACCCACTAGCCCATCCATGGGAGAAAAATGAGGCTTTCTGCTCCCGTAAAGATTTATAGCCTCAAAAACTTTACAAAGTACAGTGGCTAAGAGTTAGAATTGACCAGATGACATGGGCTTGATTTGATGTTTCTTGTCCAATGGAGAAGGCCTTTTTTTGAGAAAATAAAAAGAAACAAAATATGAACATTTATACCACTGACTACATGAAAAACTTTAAACTGAATTTTAAAGATCATTTAAAGAACACAAGTAGCACATATATTCAATCTGTATGGTAGCCAAGTGTTTTCCTTCTCAATCTAGGAAGCATTTTTTTATTCCATCCAAGACATTTGTAGCCCCTCCAAAATAATGGAATGAAATCATGAACTGATGAATAATAGCCCTCTAACTTTCGTTTCATAAATGAAATGAAAATAATAACTAAAAATGTAGCAACCTAACCAGTAGAGACTCTATACCAGTGGTTCTCAACCTTCCTAATGCCACGACCCTTTAATACAGTTCCTCATGTTGTGGTGACCCCCAACCATAGAATTATCATCATTGATACTTCATAACTGTAATTTTGCTACTGTTAGGAACCGGGCGACCCCAGTGAAAGGGTCGTTCAACCCCCAAAGAAAGGGGTCACCACCCACAGGTTGACAACCGCTGCTCTATACAAAAATAAAATATCCAGTGGTCATGAGGGTCAGGTCAGGTCAAAAGAGGGAATATCATGTTTATAATAGGAATGTCAATGATACAACATTAAAAAAATAACATTGACGGATAATATGTATAAAGCTGCTAAAAATTGATCCAGTGATTTCAATTTAAGAATATTTTAGATCACATAAAGAACAATCATATGTGACAATATGTGTACAAAATATATATTCTCATATATGATTGTTTCTTATATGACTTATGTCGAATAATTGAAATGAACTTGTTATAGAAAATATTTTCTAGATAATATATAAATGTACATATGTATGTATAAATATACATATATGTGCATCAATTATATAGATATATATGTATAAATAAACATATATGTGTATGTATATATATTCAGCACAGAGGGTTGTAGAACAAAATGTTAACCTATTATGAGAGATTGTAACTAATTTACATCTCTTTTTTTACTTTTCTGAAATTTCTCAAAATTTTATCGTGAGTATTCTTAATTTATAATAGGAAAGCACCATAAATATTCTAAGCCTTATTGGTTTTGTGTGCCATCCAGTCCATTCTGTTACCAGTAACAGGTAACCCCTACCTGTTATAGAGGAGAACTGTGTTAGAGGGTGTTCTTGGCTGGAATTTTCATTGATGTAGATTTGGAGACTTTTCTGTCCACAGTGCTACTGGGTGGGTCTGAACCATCCAGGGGTCTTTCAAGGCTTGTTGTTAAGTAAATTTACCTGGGAACATGTTAGTGAAAAGTTTAGCTGTTTTACCAATATATAATTCACATATCATATAATTCAACTGTTCAGTCATATTACAAAGAACTGTGCAGTCATCATCAAAATCAATTTTAGAACATTTTCTTCTCTGTTGTGTATTCACTGTTATTAGCTCCCCACTTCCCCCCAACATCCTCTGCCATAATAATCCTTAGAAACTATTCATTCAGTTCACTGTGTATATAGATTGACCTATCCTGGTTTTCATATACAGAAAAGCATACAAAACAAACACATGAACAACAACAAAATAATAACACCAACAACAATAACAAATAACCTGAGAAAAAAAATCTCCATAGAAAAGAAAGCTGGTGGCAAAATGATAAGATATTTGGCAGCTAAACAAAATATAAGCAGTTTAAACTCACCAGTGGGTTTTCAGGAGATACCGCATAGGCTGGATTGCTCCTTCATAGCACAAAGACATAGTGGATTACCAGGGTTCAGAGTGGGGGGCTATGGCTGTGGACATCACCCAAGGCTGAAACACTTGGTTTTTCCTTCCTTAATGCTGGCGATCCATCAGTAAATTTTTTTCTCAGTCTTTAGTTAATTCCTAGTCTCAGCTTCGCTTTGCCTAACCTTCTAAGTTACTTTTGAGTGTGAAATATCAGGAACTACTCTTGACCGAAGGCCTGATGGTTCAGTGGTTAAAGTGCTCAACTGCTCATCAAAGGGTGGAAGAAAAATTATGGCAATGTACTTCAGTAAAGATTACAGTCTTGGAAATCCTATGGGACAGTTTTACTCTATCCTACAAGGTCGCCATGAATGTAAATGAAGTCCATAGCAATAGTTTTTTGTTCTGTTTTATTCATGACTTTGCCCTTAGTCTAAATTCTTATGGCACTAGGATTGTACCATGGTATACGTGAACATCTGATTTGGACATCTCTATCTACAATAAGATGGAATCTAGTCGATAGCAGTGATATATTTTGTGTGGGGAGGGGAGGGGGGTGGTATCCACAAGTATATAATTGTCTTGGCCAATAAGTAAAGAAAAAAATTTAATTTAGAACATTAGTCCTTAACTTAAAAATCAGACATTTTGAAGAGTATTTTAATGGGGAGCTTGATATTGATTTACTGGGCCTGGGCAGTTTACAGGACATTCCCATGGCCATGCAAGATAGGTCGTCTTATCCTTCCCAAGTACTGAAAGTGGGCTTTCAATCACGCCAAAGCTTTCTTGACAAATGAGTCGCTTAAATAAAAGTTGAAAATAGTATCTTTTCATGTTTTGCTATTTTTTATGTTAAGTATGGTATTCTTAAACCTACATTAAGAACATATTTTTCTCCCTCAGGTAATGAAATGAACCATTTAAAAGTCTGGTATTACCTTGAAATCCACAGCTCACCTGGACCACCTTTAAGAGTAATTGATGTTAGATGTGTTGCCTTGGTAAGAACCCATGAAACTTTCCTGGCTATCTTTTTTGCTTTAAAAGTTTTAAAAGTTAAAGCTATGCTGTACCCTTGAAGTACTAAACTTTAAAAAGTCCATATTAAAAGTCTATGTTGAGATAAGTTATTCAAGTTCAATAATTTTATTTTTGAATCCAGTAATATGAACTCTACATATTTCTGATGAAGGTATTTTGTTTATATGGTACCTTACAGAGACTACACTGATTAGCATTCCATCTGCATCCTTCAAGAATTTATCCTACTATTACAAACTTAGCCTTATGCTAAATCCTTGTCCTCAAACAAGATAAAAGTTAGATTAAGCTCCCCCGATTCTTCTTAATATTGATTGTTTCCAGTCTCTGCAAAAGTCCTTTCACTTGGAAACATACATTTAGAAAACCTGGTACAGATTTGAGGTTTAAGTAACAGGGACAAAAAACAGGATCATATTAGATGAATTACTAAATTATTACTAAATCTATGTACAGATTATTTAATTAAAGGAGACCTTGATAAGTAATAAGTGCTGCCAATGATACTGTTTTCATTCATGTGAGCTACTATTCCTTCTTTCATTTGTTTTTCTGGAATATTTTGTGTGTCTCCTCAATGATCAGGGGTTTTTCAGTGACCTAATCGAGTATGTATTTTAGGAAAAACAATTTAACTTGTCCTTTAAAATGTACATGATTATCCCTGGACATTAAATTGTGATAATATTCTATATGTTTGGGGATTAGAAAGTACTTTTCTCAAACTTCTTTTCTTATATGTATGTACAGAAGAAAATAGATGCTATTTCTTAACTCTGTTACAAGAGAATTCAATTTCTATTTCCTGACTTTAGCATAAACTGCTATGAGTTGAGCTTTGATCCACGTGGTTGGCAGTACAAAACCTCCAGCAGCTCCGTGGGAGAAAGAATTAGGCTTTCTACTCTTTCTAAAGAGTTACAGTCTTGGAACACATAGGGGGTTGCCATGAGTCAGCATTTGATTTGATGGCAGTGAGTTTGAGCTATTTGAATATAGCTGCAACTCTGAGTTCGTAGAGCCCATGGTCATTTTTTCCAGGTGAAGGTAGACATTCCAGCCTAGATCATGGCTACTACTCTCATTCAAGACTATCTCAGATGTCTCCCCTCAGCTGCAAAACAAACAAAAAACTCCAAAACATAAAGACTTACATATCCATCAACAGATGAATCCAAAATTAAAAGCAATCTCATTGCCATCTGTGTTAGTCTGGGTAGACTAGAGAACCAAATCCAGGGAGACTCATATGTGTATAAGAAAAAGGTTTATATATAAGAGCAGTTTAATATTGAGAAAACATCCCAGTCCAGTCTAGCCCATAAGTCTGATATTAACCCATATGTCAAACCATTCTATAAAGTCCTCTTCAGACTCAAGAAACACATGCAATAATGCCGAGTGCAGGACGATTACAGATCAGTGGGTACAAAGTCTTTGGATATAAGCATCTCAGCCCCTGCAGGAGTCACTACGTGGCTTTTCTGGCTCCAGAGGTCTGGTTGCATGAGAGTAGGTCCATGTGGCTTCTCCAGCTCAGGGAACTAGCATCGTTTCATGTGTCTTGTCAACTGCAACATCTCCCAGGGAGTGAGCCGAGAGAGAGATAGCCTCTCCTACCTCCAAGAAGGATACAAGATTTCCTAGAGAAGGCCATGCCCACACAAAGGACTCATTGGCTATGATCTGACTGACAGACTAGACTCCACCCCTTGACTCATAATCCTCTCAAATTGACACCAGATTATGTAACTACCACACCATCCAGTTGATTCTGACTCCTAGTGACCACGTGAGGCAGAGTAGAACTGCCCTTGTAAATCTTTACAAGCTTTGTAAGCCTCATCTTTCTACTAAGAAGTGGCTAGTGGTTTCAAAATGCTGACCTTACAGTGAGCAGACCATTGTGGAACCCACAACAGATGAATATATAAACAAAATGTGGTACTGAGCATATGGTCTGGGGTGACTGACCTCCTCCAGCTTCCCTTGTGGGAAGGACAATCCACCACTGCCCAAAAATGATTCCTATGAGGAAAGCCTCAGATATGCCTCTACCCTCTGTCCTATTCTGAATAACCATCCCTTCTATAGGATGCCACTTTTCTGCTGGGTTCGATAATCCTTTGCAATGGTCACATAGAACTCACAGAAATTAGTCATGGTTATGACGGTTTATGTGGGAACTCAGCAGGTTTATTAGACAATTCAGGTTCAGAAAATATTAAGGATATTTTTTACTTTTTGTCTACTGCAGTGCCTTTTCTCCATCACACTGACAGGCACGTCTCTCTCTTTTCCTCCTCCTCTAACTGATCCTCTATTTTTCTCTGGGTCTCAGCAACGCAGCCCCTGGCCTCTGTCCCACTCAGGCAAGTGTTACAAAGCTCCTTCAGCACTGATAGACATTGAAAGTGTACCCCACTCTGCAAGCCAGCCTCCTGCCTGAAGGCACTCGACTTTACTTGTTCTGTGGGCTCAGGAGCCTTATTGGTCTGCTTCATAGTTTCAGAGTTGCTCCTCTGATGTTTCGTAGTCTCAGTTTTCTGACGTCTGGTGCTTCTGCTGCCTCCACCACTTCAAGCAGGGATCTTGAATGCGCTCTACTGGTGGCTCTTTCTTGATGGCCTTGGGATTCTCTGTTCCTGTTTCTGACATGGCTCATTCTGATAGCCAGTATAAGGGCAAAGTTGGCCAATCCCCAAGTTAGAGTCTTCTATTCCTTATTTGTATGCTAACACAAAATCATTTAATGGGAGTTACAACGCTTTGGATGGAAGAGCCATAGCAAGAAATTTTACTTCACCACAGGTAACATACATACAATAGAATGTCATTATTCAGCCATAAAGAATAACAAAGTCCTGTTACATACTGTGTAATATGGTTGAATCTTGAAAGCATGTTGAGTGAACTAAGACAGACAAATAGATTCTTCATAAATATATACAGTTTACAAACCAGGTTTTAATACACACTCCAAAAGAAAACCAAACTCACTGCCATCGAGTCAATGCTGACTCATCATGACCCCTGTGGGTTCCCAAGACTGTAAAGGTGTATGGCAGCAGGAAAACCTGTATTTCTTCTGCTCTAATAGGCAATGTAATTCCTGAATTCCTTATTAAATGTGCTTACTTGATTTTACACCCTGTGGGCTAAACATTTGAGCTGCTAGACATCAGGTCAGCAGTTCCAACCCACCAACTACCCCTTGTGGTTAAACCAGATAAGACTGTTTTCCTCTAAGAAGATTTAGTCTCAGAATCCCTAGGGAGCAATTCCATTCTATCCCACGGGGTCGCTGTATGTCGGAATAGACTTGATGGCAAGTGATTTTTTGGTTTGTTTGTTTAATTTTGTATTGATGCCAACGACTTTAAAAAGCAGCAGTTAAAACTCATTCTTCAAATGACTAAATCAAGGCTATACAGTAGAGTGAAACTGCTTATACTTCAAAGAGGTGACCAATAGAAGGCGTTCTCATCTCCATGTGTGTTCCAGGATGTCTTTGTTCTAATCTTCCACCTCTCATTCTTCTATTTGCTTTTCCACTAAAGTCAGCTGTGCTGATCATGCCTTGTGCTCAGTAAGCTGCTTCTTTTTCAAAGTTGCACACAATTACCTTTTGAGCACAGAATTTTAGCAAATAAGGCTCATAAGAGATTTTCACTGCAAGTTACAGCAAGAATGGTGTTCTGTATTTACAGAATAGCCAGGTAATCACAGTGAATCCTTTGATATGACTTGCCTGTAATTACTGATATTGTTGTGCAAACTAGATGTGATGTTAATCAGCATGACATGCAGCAATGACAAAGAACTGGGTGTTGGGCTGTGTATTCTTCCAAAGGTGGAAAGTGAAGAGCAGATGTTAGAAGCCATACTTAGTTATGCCCCAACTTTGTGGTAAACATGGGTCAGATTCCCCTGGATTACAATTGTGCTTAAGGGCAGGCAAGGAGCAGCCATCCTCACTCCAGGGATGGAGATGGTGATCATCTTGTCCTAACCAATCTTGTTCTCATGAAAGCAAATCCAAACATCTTACTGCTGGTCTTTGAACATCAGGAGTACCCCCTCCCCCGCCCCATCAAAATTCCCCATGAATTTAGAGAAGATCATTAAAAGAGCCCTGGTAGCATAATGGGTTATGCATTGGGCTGCTAATTGTAAGCTCACCAATTCAAACCCACCAGCTACTGTGTGGTGCGAATTTGAGGCTTTCTGTTCCTGTAAGGATTTACAGCCTCGAAAGCACAATGGGGCAGTTCTACTCATTACTAGGGATTCTCTGTGAGTCAGAATAGATTTAATGTCAATGAGTTGAGTGAGAGTGGGGTCATGAGAGCATCACTAACATTTCCAAAAGGGCACAGGAAAAAAAGTCACTGACGTAGCAGGGATGAGGTATGTCTTCATGATGAAATTTAAGTCTTGGTTGAGAAGTGTTCATCTTTTCTCATTTATTTCCCATGGCTGAGGAAAACTTTTAATTTCTTCTTCATGCGCTACAGAAAACCTGGCTAAGGGAAGTATTCATCCAAAACTACAGTTTACTTCAGAACATTCTAATTCATGCAAAACAACATTTAAAACAGATAAGCAAAAGGCGACTTTGGAAGACAAAAGATGACCTTTCCTTCTCCTGCCATCAGGCTGTACTAACCTTGCCCGGCGGGCAATGGACTTCTAAACTTTAGCACCAAGAAATAGACGGATAAGTGATCTGGAGTCATATGATAATTTATTTTCTACACAATTGGTGAAGACATCCTAGAACTCTCTGTGATGGAAACCAGCTAGTTTATGGGTCTCTGGGCACGTTCCAGTATTATGCATTGAAGAAGGAAACATTGTAGAAGTCCACATCCGAATTTTGGCATTTTGAGAGGCAGAAGTTATTAGTATTTTGTGATAACATCATATCCCTAAGTGAAAAACTGTCCGTGAGGTGGAAAGGAACAGGTGTGGAAAGACAAGCACACAGCCTCACTATTCTGATATAGGACTTCAAGGGATGTATGCATTATCAAGCTGAAACTAACGTCCGAAATAGCTGAAATGCCTTTATTCCCATATTAATTTTGAAACATGCCATGGTAAAATTTGAACAATATTTGGATATTTTCTTGTGATGAATGAGGCTTGCTTCTGCCTCTTTTACTCTGCCTCCATTATTAATGCAACTGAAGAAATGATTGCATCCCAAATTAGATTAAGTCATGCAAGTTCAAACACAACACTTACCATGCAAAAAATTAAGTAAGGCAGATATTCACCGACCATATCAAGAATGAGTGCAAACTAATTCATTAAGACATATCTACTGTACCTGAGCACTTTGCTCTGTACATGTAACACATAATACTCAAATAATATTCAGTAGGACTTTGTAGTAAGAATTTAAATGTTTCAATGTGCACACACCAACTCACACGCACACTCCAAGAAAGTCCTTAATTGATGCAAATGTTTACTGAGGTAATTTGCTAACTGAAAAAAAATGGAGGCTTGAGCCCACCTGTAGGCTCCTTGGAATAAAGGCCTGGTGACTCTACTGAAAGCCAGCCACTAAAACTCTGTGGAGCACAGTTCTACTCTGACACCCATGGGATCCCCACAAGTCAAACTGGCTTGATGAGAACTGGTTTCTATATAGGTTTATAAACATCATTCTTACTCATCAACTATCTCATTATTCAATGTTTTCAATTGATGACTATACTGAAAACCTACCATGCAACTATTTTACACACTAGCAATGCATGTCAGGCAGTTACTAACATCTAGGTGTGAGATGAGAGTAACACTGACGGTGATGGTTAAGGTTATATGTCAACTTGCCTCAGCTCTGATTCTCAGTAGTTTGGCAAGTGTGTTGATCTGGGTGGATTAGAGAAACAAATTCATAAACATGCATATGTGTATAAGAAAAACTTTATATACAGGAGCAATTGATTATTGAGAAAACATCCCAGCCCAGTACTGGTCAAGTCCATAAATCTGTTATTAGCCCATATGTCCATTACCAGTATGTAAATTCTTCTTCAGACTCACGCAACACATGCAATGACACCAAATGCAGGAAGATCACAGGCCAATGGGTGGAAATTCTTGTGAGTCCAGTGGTGGTGGAAGCATCTCAGCTCTGGCGTGGGTCTCCATGTGACTCCTCAGCTCCAGGGCTCTGACTCCATCAGCCTCTCTCCATGTGACTTGTCAACAGCAATGTCTCCAGGGAATGAGCATGTGTCCTGCTTCCAGTGAGCTATTTATCTCCTAAGCACCTCCACATGAGGTCATAAAGCTGCGGCCTGATTGACAGGTTAAATTCTACCTCTTCACTCTGGGAAATGTAGTATCTGATTGGGCAACTGCTTCTCAAGGACATCTTCATACTATGAAAGTAGAGTGCAGCTTTTTGGTTGATGACAGATACTTGGGCTACACCAAGGGAGGGCAAAATTCTTTACCTTATCCTCAGTTTTTAGCATTTGTACAGGAGGGCTTGAAATAGTTCATGGGAGAATTTCATTATCTTTTAAGCCCATTTTTCATGAACTTTTTAAAGCTTCTTCATTTTAGATGGCCAGAGACTGATCATAAAGAATAAAGTGATTCCTGGGAAAGAAAAATGTCAGCATAAACAGGAGTAATTTGTCCCTACCCACCTACCATGATGCAAATGAGCTTGACTGGCTTCATTAGAATGACACAAAGACAGTAGGGAAGTATCTTCCTTCTACAAGGAGAGGAAGTGGGTGGTTTAATGGCCACTGACTTTATTCTGGGCTCTTAACATCACATTGGATTATGGGGGAGAAGAGGTGGTTTAAGAGAGAGGGAGCAAGCTCTATTTTCTCTGACAGAAGGTGGGATCTCCTGGGTTAGAATCCGCTTGACTCTGTGGAACAAGTCTGGATTCAAGAGTCTTGAAAAGACCTAATCCAAGGATGCAGTATGTTAAAAAGTGGGCAAAAAGGTAAAGATGAGGCTATGTAGGGTAATGCAAGAAAGCATAGGTTATTAAAAGATCAGCTAAGAAGCACACCCAGCATAAATTGTATTATTAATATAATTTAACTTAGTTCAGATTGTATCTGCTACTGGATATGAATGTAAAGTGAAACTTAAAATATTTTCTTTGGATCATCATCAGTAGCAGCAGTATCATTTCACACAGCTTTTTAGAAATATTCTTTCTCCGGCTCTATTCTAGCTATGGTACAGTAGTCAGAAATCTGTGTCTTAACAACCTTTTCAGCTGATTTTTACACATTAACTGTTAAAGTCTGTACTGAAAAATGGACTTTATAGTATGTAGCAGAATAATTTTAGTTTGCTTAGACTTTAGTGGTAAGAATTCCTTGTAATGTTTTCTGTTGAAAAGATTTCACCAAAATGTTGGCATTTACCAAAACTAACCAAGGAAGACATGAGATTAAAAGTTGGTGAGAGAAATTCAATAGCAGATCAAGTGGATCAAATAGTTTTCATTGCATTTACTGCCCTAGAAAAGTAACTCTGTGCTGACATTAATTGCTGTGTATGTGTTTGCTCTGTAATTCTAGGAAACGATTTGTATCGATATACCTCTCACAAATCCAAAATATAGAATTGTTCATATGGAGGTGAAATTACCCAATGATGCCTTTAGTGGACTCAAGAGAGTTTCATTGAATCCTCAAGAAAATAAGACCTATCGTCTCAGATATTCACCAGCAGCTTCAAGTCATAGAGAAGAAAGGTATAATGTGAATGTCGCATAAATATTTCATTGTTGATCCCTTGAAATAGACTTTTAAAATTATTATTGTTATTTGCATATTGTAATTATTAAGGTTGTATGTGCTCATAGTTTTATCTTTGTGAAATTTCATTTCTTGATAAAATGTGCTAATTTAGAATGACCTTTTCTTTAGTGCAAACATTATTTCTTGAAATATTACATTCGATAATAGCTATTTTCCCCCTATGCCTCCTCTTTCTTTTTTTCACTTTGCATGGCACAAATGAAAATAACTTTACAAGTACTAGGGTTTAAACTTTTAATTTCCTTAAGGAAATCTAATCTATATATTCTCTATTATAAAGCAAATATCATTTTTGAGAACGTAGAACGTTTTTAATTAGGAATGTCATACTATTGTGAGAACCCATATATGTGTATCTATCCATCCATATTTATATGTATACCTGTGTGTAAATCAAAAACGTATTGCTGCTAGGTCCCTGTTTGTACAAGCAAGTGCTTGTTCTAAACCAAATGTGTGTAAGCATGCCTCTGAGATCAGCGGATGGTTGCAGACAAGTTCTCTCAGTGAAGCACACATCTTGGTCTTCTTAGGGTGGCTTCAAGAAAGAGGTCCAGTCAAAACAAGGACTTCTAAGAGAATCTGTTGGGCCAGTTAAGGCAAAGAGATCAGCCCAGAAGATTTTGATGGCTGGGGTTTTTTTTAGTGGGGCGGGGGAGTTTGCAAAGGGGTTTTCTTGATAGCTTTGCTCCAAGGACACAGAATAATCAGAGGGGTTTATTAGGGAAAAAGTCCCTACTGGAGTCCTGTCACCTTGTGCCATGTCACTTTCACATTGCACTCAGAGCAGAGTTCTGGGGTGGGGGTGAGGCCCCGATGGGGGAGCGGTTGACTTCCGAAGAGCCCATGTCCAGTACAGATCACTTGATCTCCATTGCTCGGTATACTTCCCTGAGCAGGAGACACCAGCAGGGAATTTGATCTGCTCAGCTTTACCCTTCAGCCGTTGGACTCGGAGGACTCCGCTGACTGCCAAGGACCCTGTGCAGCTGTGGAGTCTCTGCCCACATTCTGAATCTCTCCAAGGGTTCTTCCTTCTACATTTGTGTCCCAACTGATATATTCTACCTCGAGTCCTCTTACTTACTGCTTGTTTACGTGGCGCTTCTCCTATTTTAATCCAGACCAGTTCAGGTAAAGCTTTGTTTCTGCTGCCTAAAGTTTGTTCAGTGGATTCCATTTCCTGCTGATAACAGAAAGAAAATGCTCTAGGCAGTCCAATGTCCTGGTGCTTGGCAGCTTCAAGTATAGAACAGGAGTTAACAGAACTCTCCGTTTGTGAAAGGTTCGCTTCCCAGGAGTAGAGCAGGCATTGGTGCAGAACAGCAGGGGGGATGTAAATTTCAAAGCTGTAGTGGTAGCAGCAGTTTTACTCTTCACTAATGTACATTTGTTTTGTTGCTGATGAAGAGGAGCGTCCATTAAGTCAGATGGATGTGGAATAAGAGGTGACAAATTGTTGAACATGACACCTGCCTCGGAGCAGGGGGATTTGGGATGCTCAGGGCTGTGTGGCAACTCGGCCGGCATGCCATTGAAACGGGCCTCCAGGTGGACTCACACGGCCAACTGTTTAAATAATATGAACCATTAATATAAAAATAAAACGTATTGTGCCCAATACTATTTTGATAGATTGCCATTAAAACTGTAGGCAGATCTCGTCTACCTGGTGTAATTTTATGGACTTTGAGTTTGTGAGCATAAACCAGATTTTGGATTTTTCTAATCAGCATACATTAAATGACATAATCTTAGCGAATACTCATTGTTTGCCTACTCTGATATTATCAAGGGGCCTTGTGTTTCACACACATAAGCACACAAAATTCCCACAGCAACCATAAGAGATAGGAATGTTTTCTTCCACCTTACAAATGGTGAAACTGAAGCTCAAAAAGTTAAGTGATTTTTTAAAGTATGCGCAAAAATGCATGTTAAAGTTGGTTGATCAAGCCAGTTGTACTTTTAAACTATGTTGTATCCCAAGCTATGTCTCCCCCAGCATTAAGCACATGATAGTTATAAGGGAAACCCACCAGAGCTACAGTTAAATGAGAGTGTCCATATGAAAATATGCATATTCAATTCAAACTAAAATAGATTTAACCGTAGCTACAATCAGTCTTTTTCTCATAGCTCCTGCAAAACCTTTAAATTACTTATGTTTAAGCATTTTCTCATTGATTCAGCAGGCATCTGTTTCAACAGATATGAATAACCAACCTACTGTTTTTAAATAACAAAAAATGATGTCATGATTTTCACACCACAAAATGAGTTATTTCAAATGTGTCCACAGTGAGAATAAAATGTGTTAAAGAGCAGTTGTCAGTGTATTTTAAACCACCTGCTTCTACCAAATTTTTTTCAGCCAAATGTTTTATAAAATTAAAAATCACTAACAAATTTTGTATATTTCTCTCCACCAGCATTATTTTTCATCCTGATGTAGCACTGGAGTTCTGGTATTTACTAAGAATAAATACTGAATCTCCAAAATCAACCACAATGCCAGAAATAAAATGTGAACTTGGGAAGTAAGTTGCTTTTAATATTTAACAGTATCTCATGCCAACAACATAGGGAATCTAATGGTATGTTACAGTGCATTTAATATTCAAAGAAGAAAAATCTTTTAAGTAATTATTTTTATTTTCCCAAGTAGTTTTGATATGTGACAACCCTGTGGAAGACTTGGTGAATGCCGTTTTTCCTCAAGAAAAATTCATATTGTCAAATCACCAAAATCAGAAAGGGGCCTTTAAATGAGTGTTTATTAAGTAGCTATATCTGTTAGCAGCAAAGCATTCTACCAAAGCTGATGTAAAGCTCTGCCTTAGGCAATTAAAAGGGGGCGTGGGAGTGGGGAAGCTATTTGTTTTAGAGAAAGAGCTTCTAACAAAGAAATTCTAGGTGCCTGGATAAGCTAGACCTGGAGCCCCCAGTGTTATAGTGGATTGGACATTGGGCTGCTGACCTCAACGTCAACAATTTGAACCCACAAACCACTCCATGGGAGAGAGAGTTGTCTGCTCCCTCAAAGACGTACAGCCTCTGAAACCCTGTCCTATAGGGTCTCTGTGAATCAGAACTGACTAGATAGCAGTGGATTGGTTTTATTGATTTGCTTTTAGTTAACTGAGACATCTTCAAGTTTTAAATTTTGGAGAGGGATTATAAATGTTGAAGAACAATTTATTCTGCTAATGACCAGTTGGATATTTAGAACATCATTCACAGGGTCTACTGGTGCAATATTTAATTCGCTTATCTTTCATAAGGCATCTCATGTTAACTCATAGTTCTGATGTCGCAGGCCTTTCATGACTCATGAGTCAGACCTTTCCCAACCCTGATCTAGATCATTGTTTGACTGGAAAGTGATTTTTAAGAGTCCAGCCTTCTCCAGGCTCAAGGTTCAAAGATCATTTCAGAGCAATAAATATTGTGGGTTACCTCAACCACCATGGATTTCATAGAAATTTAAAATTCCATTCTGTTGCATATGATATTTGTTAAAATTTAATGGATGGCAACAAAGTATTTTTGGTTGTCATGGCTTTGGGGTTTTTGGTTTGTTTGTTTTTTTCAAACATCAATTTATTTCCTTTGGTTTTTACCATTTTTTATTAGAAGAAAAACCGTCAGCCTTATTCTCCTTTTTAAGTAATATGTCTTTTTTTACAGCCCTTTTAAGCGTTTCTCTTTGGTTTTCAGCAGTTAGATATTTCCAGGTTTTCTTTGAGCTGCTTGAGGTTCATTTAGATTTTGAATTTGTGGGATGATACCTTTTATCAATATTGGAAAAGTGTAGCTTATTTTTTTCAAAATTTGCTTCTGCTTTATTGTTCTCCTTATAGGACTCAAAATACACTTATCATAGATCATTTCACTGCATCCTGTCTCCTCCTCACGTTAATTGTTAAACATGTATCACAAAAATTGCACATCTCATTGGAGGACTGAGAGTTCTGGATGATACTTTTTTTTCCTCAAACATTTTATTTTATTTGTTTTGTTGTAAGTTTAACAGATATACTGACATATAATTCACATACCATACAATTCAATGGTTTAAACATATTCAAGAGTAGTGCAACCATCATCACAATCAATTTTAGGACAGTTTCTTCATTCTTAGACCCCAAACTCATCTGCCATACCCCTCAGAAACTACTAATCCAATTACTGTATCTATAGATTTACCTATCTTGGGTTTTATATAAAGAAAAATATACAAGCACAAAACAAACAAAAACAGCAGAAAAAAATAAATCAACCTAAAATAAAGCTCAGGAAAACCTCTGCTTAAAAGACAGCGCAAAAAACAACAACAAAAAAACTAGAACATTTTTAAAATGGGCCAAAAGGGAGAACAAATGATAGTGTTTAATTTTAGCCTAACTATATCTGCATTAATCCATTTTCGACTTGCATTGCAAGCAGGTCACATGCCTTAGTCAATTAATTGCTTCAGGGCTTTGATCTGAGTATGGCTGCTGTATTCTACCCTCATCTTATTCCATCATAGAATTTACAATTAATTGGCTGTGATTAAACTGGGCTAGCTAAAAATTAATCCACAAAAAATATTAAAATGAGAAATGCCCCCCCCCCCAAAATAAAACCAAAAATGTGTTAGGTCAGGTCATGAAGTAGGTGTTAACTGACAAACCACTGAGAATCCTAGCCCAGCCAAGTTGACATAAAATTTTCACACAGAGATTCATGCAGTTTTTTGTTTTTGTTTTTGCTTTGCGTTTGTGCCACGTAAAATGTTTTAATATATTGGTAGAAGGTAAATTTCACAATTTATAAATGTTAACTTTTCAAACATTATCATATTCATTCTCATCAATAATATTACTTTAATCCAACAAAATAATAGTGTATTTTTATGCATTTTGTTGTTGAATATCTGAAGTATGCTTTATTTTATTTCATACTTGCAAAAAGCATTGACAACTCTTCACATTTTTTCTAAGCAATTTAAAACACCCTTATTATTTATTTTATTTAATTTCTCATCATGAGAACATTCAGGACATATACTTCAATTTTCTTCATTCGTGTCTTTTTGAAACCTGCAACCTATTTTAAATTTATTTTTATATAGCAACTGAACTCCAGTATTTAATCAAAAGAGAGAAACTTTATCAAATAGACAATGTGCCAAATTACAGATATCTGAAAAACTTAACTTGTTGAAAGTAAACTTATAAATAGAGCTGGTACCACAACATGTGAAGTAATTAAGATGCTTCAGCCTGAGATTTAAATGTTGATTATATTTGAAGAACTCAGAGTCATGTTCGACATAAAATTTTAGCTGGATGATTGATTAAAATTCAGAAAACCATGACCAGCTTTCTATTTCTCTAAGTAACTTTTAATAGTAGTAAAGTTAGCTACATGTCATCTCAATAAATTGAAAAAGAAGAATGGATGGTCTCCATATTATTAAATTTTCTGTTTCATTTAAGTATAACCAAATATAAAGCATGCATATCTCACTTCGTTATGTAAACGAATGCAAAAGTTCAGAAATAAACAATTTTCTATCTCAATTAATGACAACTGTGTTAGAAACTAACCTGGTCAACAAAATAAGTTGAAAAATATTGAAACATAAATCACTAAATGCTATTAAAATTCAGAGTTTTGCATCAACCATAAACATCAAATTTGTTTCTCAATGATGTTTGAACATTTAGAAAAATGTTGTTAATTCATACATGATCATTTTCAAACTCCATAAGTAAGTTTGAAACTTAATTTTCTTTCATTTTTCTCCTAGGTGTGTCATGCAGGCCATACCCTTGACCAATCCTACACATGAAACATTAGAGATTGAAGCCAAAAATAACAATCCTGGAGATTTCATCCTGGATGTTGATCCAAAATGTCCAGTAAGTACATTGAGAAAACCAACTAACCCACCACTGCTAGAATATTTAATAATTATGATTTGACGATACCCTAGAATATTGTCATAGGAATTATTAATAAGGTTGATATTTTCTAAAATTTAAAAATACTGATTTTTGTATTACTAAAATTTTGATTTATCAAAAACCAATATCATGTTTCTATATGTATTTAATAAAATGCATCTGAGGGTTACAATCATTCTAAATAAACTGGTTATGTTCGATTTCTGAGCATTTTAGGAATCAGTTTATGCAATAGTCTACCAATAATAAGATTTTTTAAAAATAATCATTTTATTAGTGGCTCATATAACTCATCACAATCTGTACATACGTCATCTGTGTCCAGCACTTTAGTTCATATGTTGACTTCATCATTCTTACAACACCCACTTTCCACTTGAGCCCCTGGAACTCAGCAGTTATGATGTCTGTCCAGAGTGCCAGGAGATCAGTTCTTTTCAAACACTCCTGAGGTTCTACCCACATCCCTACTCATTTGCAGACTCTGCCCCTCTCTCTCCTTCTGTGCCATTTTCTCAGACCTGAATCCAGGGCAGTGACTAAGGTCAGTTAATGGGCCTCAGTGACTTTTCTCCTTCTGATTCATAAAAAGATTAGAACTTTACCATGACCATGACTGTTTCCACAATCTACACCAATTAGCTGAATGCTCAAAACAGTACACTTTAGAGTAAAACTTAGAATACAATAAGCTATTTTAATCAAAGAGCCTCACATGAATTATGAAGATTCTAAGTAGTTATGATGTTTAGACAATGGCTTTTTTAATCTTCCTAATAAATCAACAATATAATTGCTTTGTCTTAACACCTATTTTGTAAGCCCTCATTGCCAAATAATATCATGATATGAAATTATTTCTCAGCTACCATAATGTGCCAAACTGTGGTGGTTGTTGTTAAGTACCTGAGTCAGTTTTAACTTACAAGGAAGGATCTTATGTACAACAAAAGGAAGTATTTCCTGGTTCTGCAAAATCCTCACAATTGCGTCAGTATTTTAGCCCATGGTTGCAACCAAGGTATTCATTTGTTTTATCGAGGGTCGAAAAAAATGAATATGTCTTGGAAGAAGTACAGCCAGAATGTTCATTAGAATTGAGGAAGGTGAGACTTCACCTCATGGTGAGATTTCACTTCATATATTTTGCACATGTTCAAGAGGGACTAAGTTCCTGGGGAAGGCTATCATTCTTGGTAAAGCTGAGGGTCATTCGATAAGAAGAAACCCCTCAAAGAGAAGGATGGATACAGTGGCTACAAAGATAGACTCAAAGTGACCAACAAGGGTGAGGCTAGCACGGGACCAGGCAGTGTTTCATTGATTATTCTGTTGTACATAATGGTTGCTATGAGCCCCCAAAGACTGCACAATACTTATCAACAAATACTACCAATGTCCCTTGTATCAATTGCAACTGTATGATAATCCTCGGTATGATGTTTAGAATTGCATTTCATAGAGCTTTCATGTTCTGTGTCTTTCTGAAGCAAATCACTAGAATTTTTTTTCCAGTTTCCTTCTGGTGGAATCAAACTACCAACCTTTTGGTTAGCATCTGAACATGACCATCCATGCCATGCACACAGATAAAAAGAGTGAGAGAAAGAGAATCAGCTATTTTAATATTTTCCAAGTTGTAAAAGATTCTTGTTTATTTTTATTATACTTAGAATTATATTCAGAAAGTGTATAGCTAAATATTTGAAGTGCCAGAGGGAAAAATAGTCTAACATAAAGTATTTGAAATAGTAAAACTGGATGTATACAATGAGGGTATAACCTTGTTACAAATATATAATTGTGTTTGAACTTCATGACCATTATTAGTTTTTATTGAGCCCCAAGTGCTCTGTTTTATAAGTCCTACTAAATTGCAACCTTAGTTTTTCAAAGGTTAACTAGCAAAACATATGAAAATAGTTGACTAATTTTTGAGACTCATTCTGTAAATATTGATAGTAAATACCATATTATTCTCAGTCCAGCTTTTTGAGTACATTAAGTACTCAACCCCCCACCCCATCACGTGTGATAGTCACTGACTTTTTCACTGTCCCTAGAGTTCATTCAAACTCATACTGACTGAAACCAAAGCAAAACCAACGCCATCAAGTCAACTCTGACTCATAGTTACTCTGTTAAAAAAAAAGTCAACTCTCTGCCACCCAGTTCATTCTGACTCATGGTGACCCAGTGGCACAAAGTAGAACTGCCCCTGTAGTTTCTGAGTCTGTACATCGTTAAGGGAGCAGACAGCTTCATTTTTCTCTGGAGAAGCAGCTGGTGGCCAACCTTATCATTCAAAACCCAGCACATAAACCACTACACCACCAGGACTCATTAGCCAACCCAGAGACCAAAATGAAATTGCTCCATGGGATTCCCCAAACCAGACATCTTTATGGAAGCAAACTGTTTTCTTTTCCCCACTGAGCAGCTAGTGGGTTCAGACTACCGAACTTTCAATCAGTAGCCCAATATTTCACTCCTGTGCCACCAGCAGACTCACATTATTCCAGCAGATTGCGATCTTGTTCCGAATGTGTGTGATAGAAAGATGAGGAAAACTTCATTGACCACTAAAGAAGGTCTTCCATCTGCCCATATTTTGACTCCACCAAGCATACAGCTTAGATTCTTGGTGGTTTGTTGGGAACCATGGCATGGATGATGAACTTTGGGCTTAAGAGTAAAAGGCATTTTTCTTTATTTGTGGTTTTATCTCATCTTACCAAATTAAGCCTGATTTCTTTTTGCACAGCAAGTAACTTCATATGATCAGTGCCTTGAGATGAACGTGCAGGGAGCATCAGCCAGCACTCTTTATCACAGGCCAATTTACCAATGCCGCAAGCAAAAATGGGAACAGAGAATGTATGCAAGGCATCACAGGGTAGTGATTAGTGTTTCTCTCTTGCTTCTTTGTGTGTTTGCACAGCTCATCATTCAACCTTACACCACCTCAGAAGTGCCTGTGTACTTCCATCCTTCTGGGCTAGGCAGAATGTCCCACAAAGCTACGATCAACTTCAGCTGCGCCCAGGTATGATATCCTTGAACAAAGCCAAGTGAATGAAATTACAAAACTCTCTGAATGTTTTTGGTTTAAGATTGCTTGAATGAGGAAGAATCAACATCCAGATTTAAAAGATCAATATTTTAATGTAATGACACATCACTGACATTTGTGTAATCTTTGAGCTTGGGTTTTATTACTCAACTTTTCATGAATTTAATTATAAAGATGTAGAAATATGATGTGTTTATTTGTGCTATATTTCCACTCCATTTAATCTGTATAATGTACTTGAATAATAATAATAAAATACAATAATCATAATTTTCAGTACCTATAAATACCCATATGTCACTCTAAAGTTTTCTTCAGTTCATTTGTGCCATAGTCCTATTATGGAAGTATTATTATTATCAATCCCATTACACAGGTCAAGAAACTACGACAGGGAAGGGAAGCAGTAAGAGGCTGACCTCGGAGTTGAACGCAGGATGCCTGCCTTTAGCTCATCTTCAGGACTGCTTGGCACTGCTATCTACTTATTTGTCCAATGATTGTAATGTTCTTATTGCCAACAAAAATTTATATAATATTTTACCCATATAATTTTTATTACCAGTTACTTCTTTAAGTCTTGACTGTAAGGAAAGTAAATGGAGAGGTATGTGTTTTATATCCAAGGGCACGAAGAAACCACAATCCCAGCCATTGGAGGGGCCGTGGAATCAAATATATTGCAGGGTTCCAAAGTCAGTGTAGGGCCTGTGGATGACTGAAGTGTTGTCCTGTTAAAAAACCGTGTACTTCATCTTCAGAAAAATTAGATTGTTCCATTGTCTCAAGTATAACTGACATACGAGGGGCTTCAAAAAGCTGATGGGAAATTCCCGTGAACTTTATTTTCCAAGAACTCTCTGAAGCCATCTTGATTATATGACTTGGAACAAACACTGGAAGTAAATTTAGTTCTCAAAAATAATATCAAAACCCATAGTAACCCTTAAAACAGAACATGAAGTTTAGTGGTGATTATTATTTTAACATGACACACTTTTAAGTGCTTCATAGGAGGGATAAAGCCACAATTGCTTCTCAGCTGTTTGGCGAAGATCAAGTGTAGGAGCGATAGAGCTCCTTCCTCTTAATTATTGAGGACAATTTTATTACTCACATTTCTATAGAAATCATCTCTTTTTAAGGATTGTTTGGCAGGATTGTTTGTCTTAAGAGCTTTAGAAAAACCCGACTAGAAGTTAAAAAGGACATTGTTTATCAAACACAGAAGACATTAAAGAAGCAAATAATCAATTCAATCTTGTGTGGACCAATTGAGCACTGATGCTTCATTTCAGTCACATCTCCTTCCACATTGCAGCCCGGCTTCCAGGAGCCGGCTTTGCTAGACTTGAATCAATAACTCATCCTTTCACCCACTGGGTCCAGACCCCTTTCATCTGTTGAATGTATTGTTCTGACTTTTTTGATTTTATCCCTGAATTATGTGTGTTTTCCTCTTTCGTTTTAATTTACCCAGCCAGTGCTCTTTGATAACAAAACCAATTCACTGTAAAGTATTAATTGAATGAACTTTAAGAAATATAGTATAGGTCATGTTTATGCAGCCCTCTTAGGAAATTTTTGTTTGTGTGTTTTTAAACTAAAACTCCAGAGTTTATTTTTCTAGGGCTAAAGTTTTGCAATAAATTTTCATCCATGTTTGGGTGGTAGCAGGGGAGTAAAGGATGAATACACATTTTTTCCTTCTCTTGATTTCATTTTCATCGATTAAATGTATCTCTGCTGACACACACAGCTGAGTAGCTGACTTGTCTAAAATCAGCTTTGCAGTAAGGATAAGCTTTGACTCTTTCTGATTGTGCTTGTTTGCTGAACTGCAGGAAACAACTATGGGCTATTATTCATTTCATGTGATTTGGGTTTTGTTCCACGTGAAGATTTCTACATTGCCAATCTCAACTTTAGATCACAGTTGTTTTGTGTACATTTTGCATCCTCAAATTAATTTGGGTGGAACATCAACAACTGCACACATATTATGAACACATACTGTGTCCGTGGAGTCTCCAAATGAGATAGTGTCACTGCACAGGGGAATAATAGGAGTCAGCAAATGTGGGAATTTGGGGGCTGTAGTTGGTCTCAAACATTTGTTCAAGGCTTCCTTTGTTCAGTTTTAGATGCCCTGTTTTATTTTCTAATCATTCGCTTCTTTATTTCATTCATATTGATTATGTGACTTGCTTGAACTAAAGGCCAGAATAACAAAAGTGAAGGAGGACAGTGTAAACTTAAAGTAGTTTTATAGTCTCACATCAGTCCGTGCTTCTTATACCATGTGTCTATGGAAAGTCCTATTGGTTCTGACATGCTCTGCTCAACATCCAACCAAATTTAATCTTACTACTACTTTTCCCATTCTGAAGCTTTGAAAGGTCTTGATTTTCCTTCTTTATAAGACTGTGAGATTATGATGGACTAAAATGATTACATATTTCATTTTAAATGCATATATTAGGGAGGTTGCTTTTTCATTTCCCTCTGCACCCAAGTGGGTATCTAAAGCAATGCTAGGGCATCTGTTGGGTATTAGTGTTCAATAATGGCAGACAATAATTTAACATAGAAGAACAGTAGAGATACCCTATGCTATGCCACTTGTGGGAAGAGAAAATATTGCATTACAGAGTTTTTATTTTGGATTTTGGCTAACTCTCGGTAGTTTTAAGTCAACTAATTTCTGTTACCCAAAAATTATTCGAAAAGTAACCAAAAAGAAATAATTCATTTAAATTAGTTGTTAATTAGTTAAATATTTATGTTTTCTTTCAGTCATTCAGTTACAAAGCATAACTGAAAATATTGTGAACTTATGTCAATAGATTCTCTAAAATTAATGCAGTCACTAAAACATTTATACAATATAAATTTATCTGTAGTTATATATAGCTTGATAGATGACAAAGATTGTAGATAGATAGATAGAAATTACCTACAATTTTCCATACTCAAAGAAACTTTTTATGGATTTTCTATCACCACGTATCCTAGTATAGAACTATCTTAACACAAGGTTCCTTCATTTTGTTGGAATGTGTTTGGAAACATTTATATGTTTTGGGAATTATAAACTGAGTTATTGTTGATTAAGTTATTTTAGGTAACTTTTCTCTTTTTTCATTGTTGTAACAATAAAGGTAACACAACATTTGCCCATTCAACACTTTTCATTCATACTATTCAGTGACATTAATGACCTCTTCATTCATCTTCAAAAGTATGAAAAGTTCAGTGCAAAAGTAGGGAATGCCTAGAAATGAGTTCTAGTCTCCTGTAATCTCAAACCAAACCAAATCACTGCCATAGAGTCAATCAAGATGCTTTTATGCGAAATGGATAGAAAAAGAACATTTTCGAGCACAATTTTGCAATGTGATGCAACTGAAGTAAAATTAATTTTTAAAATAACAAACAAACACTGCCATTGGGTCGATGCTGACTCCTCATGACCTGATCAGGCCGAGTAGAACTACTCCTGTGAGTGTCCAAGGCTGTGAATCTTTATGGGAGTTAAAAGCTTCAACTCTCTTCCTTGGACAAGCTGGTGGGTTGAAACTGCTGACCTTTTGGTTAGCATCCCAACCAGGAACCCACTACTCCACCACAGTCCCCCCTCTATTAAATCATCTTTACATAATTTTCAAGTCACACTTCCAGATGATTTGAACAGAGAACATACAATAAACTACATAATGGGAATAAATAATATGGTCTGAAGTTGTACACACTTGCTTTTAAAGAGACGTCTGTATATGTTGCATATCAGTTGATTATTCAAGTAAATAAAAATAATATGGAAAAGAAAGGAAAATAAAACACATTAAAATATTATATCAAAATGTGTTTTCTGAAATAGTAGGTACATTATATATCTTCACCATAGCCAATAAAATGTATATGTTTGAACAAATATATTATGCATGTTTTTCTTTAAACAGTTCAAAGATTGGAAATTTTACCTCAGTGGAGTTGGACTCTTCCCCGAGCCTATGAAAATAGAGCATATTACAACATTTCTCCATCTTCAGTCATCAGTTGTTATACATTTCACAAATCCCACCCATGAAGATGTTTTCATCAATGTTTCGTTATCAAGTAAGCTCTTTTTCTTATGTTTCACAGATGGTATTTCATATCTGTTAATCAAACTTTTCTTTTCCAGAATCAAATAGTTTAGACTTAGGACACATTTTAGAAGTCTCTCCCCTTCAAAACCCACATCCATCAAGTGAGTTCTGACTCATCACAACCCTACACGGCGCTGAGGAGATTGTAAATCCTCTCAGCTTTCTCCCATGGAGAGATCGGTGGGTTTGAACCACCAACCTTGCAATTAACATTAGAGATGCCTAGGTGGTGCAAGCAATTTACACTCCAATGCTAAAGCAAAGTCAGCTGTTCAAACTCACCCAGCAGTCCGGAGCAAGAAATAAATAAAAAATGTATTTATTAAATTTCATTAAATAAAAAATAATATGGAAAAGAAAGGAAAATAAAACAAAAATGTTAAGGTTTTCTACTCCAGTAAAAAATTAGTGTCAGAAACCCACAGCCTATAAAAACAGAACACATTACAGCATTTCTCCATCTTCAGTCATTCAACTATGAGGTGGAAAAAAATGTCACACAGAATACCTAAAACAAAGACTATTCCATGAAATTCAAGTTACATAATTGCTAAAATTGTAGACTAAAACAAGTATCATTTTATGTTTATCGTCTGACTAAATGGAAAATGCAAGTAACCTGGATCTCAAACTTAAAAATGTTTAATTTAATGTATTTTAAAGTGTAGGTATGTGTTTATGCAACCACCTGACAGTTCCCAGGGGGAAGTATCACCCACTTAGGAAAACACTGCCATAAAACAAGGTCTTTCTCCAACATAACCTCAAAGTACCCAGAATGACTCCTGGTTGCATACAGGTTATGTGACAATGAGTTTGAGTTTTGAACCTCTAAGTCATTATCACATGGGTAGATCTATTTAATACATATATAAAAATATGAAAATAAATATAACAGCCAATGTAGGATGAGAAATAAACTGTTAATAGTTTTAGTTTTAGTGCTCCAACTTTGCTACCAGCCAACCCAAATTTACCAGCAAATAACTAAATACTAAAAATGTGAGAAAGTTATTGAGAATAATTGTAATGAATGTTAATTGACATTTTGGAAAGCCTAAGTCAGTTTTGTTGTGTATTGTTCTACACTATAGACTTCTGTTTCCTCGTCATTCAATCCAGAGTAAATTTGTTGTATGAGAATCACATAGGAGACACACTATACTTCTCATTGCAATGCATCAGGAGTCACTTAATGTCAGTCTCATTCTTGGGGATGCTGAGTGTGCTCACTTGGTTGAGGTTCTGTGTGCCAAAACTTTTACCTGGTAAAGGGAAACTTTCGTTGATAAATTTTAAAATATAGTTATGTTATTGCTGATGTTGAAAACACACGCAACAAAACATACATAAATTCAGCAATTTCTAAATTAAGCTATAATTAATTGGTATTGGGGGATGATACTTTGAGATGGCATGAATGACCTCTTCTCATACCTATGCCATCCATCCCATTCCAGCCTACAGTGTAGGTAACTCTCTTTATTTGATTCTGTTTAATCCACGCTGTTCTTTTTGCAAAAAACACACGTACATGAATAAATTCCTATAGGCACATACATAGACTTATTCCATCCTTTTTTTTTCAAACAGACATAGTATACTACTAACACTTGAGATTTGTTTACTTCACCTAACAGTACATCTGAATTCCCTATAAAGCAGTTATCAGACACCTTTTTATTCATATCTTTGACTTTTTATTAATGTCATTTTGTTTTAGAACCAATTTATATACACAGTCTTCTAATATATTGGCGATTTTAATATTTAGCTCACTAAATAATGAATCCATGGACGGCCTTATATGTATCTTATTTCATGCTTGAAGAGATAGATATTTAAGATAAAGGGCCGTGGTGGATTCATGGTTAAGCACTTCCCTTCTAATAAAAGGTCATCTGTTCAAATCCATTCAAAGCTCCACCTTAAAAAGAAGTTGTACTTTGCTTCCATATGAATTGGAATCAACTCATTGGAATGGAGTTAATTTTCAAGATACAATTCTAGAAGTAGGCTTGGTGGGCAAAACAGTATATTCATATAAGATACTATTGACTCCATTCTTTTCCGAGGACAGCTTCAACTGGCGTCTGATACATTATACATAAAATTACTTGTATCTTTTCTCAAGAGGCTTTTATCTTTTAACTATAAAATGGTCAAAAGCAAAGCTGGCACTTTGAGGACTAAGGTACACACTTGATCCTAGCCATGGTATTTTCAATTACTCATTTGCATGCAAAAGCTAGATAGTGAGTATGAATGACTGAGGGATTGGTGTCTCTTTATTATGGTATTGGTGAAGAATATCGAATGATGTTGGGAAAAAGGTTAAATCAGTGTTGGAAGAAGTAGAGCCAGAATGTTCCTTAAAAAGGAGGATGGCAAGACTTTGTCTCACATAGTTTGGATATATCACCAGGAGGAGCTGTCTCTGTAGAAAGATATCATCCTTGTTAAAGTGGAGGGGCAGCAGACGAAAGGAAGGCCTTCAATAAAGTGCACTGACATTATGGCTATAACAATGGTCTGAAACATAGCAATGTTTCTGAGGATGGCACAGGTCAGCACAGGGACATTGTTTCCTTCTGATGTGCATGGGGTTGCTATAAGTTGAGGCATTCTCAGGGCACCTAGCAATATTGTATGGTCTCACCAAAAGCAAGTACTTGTTATGTAAAACAAACCCAGCAAGTATGTCTGGACAATTGATTGTATTTTAATTTTAATATTTTATACTCAACATTAAAGCTGAAATATTAATTTACACATAAAGTTGCATAAAAGAACCCTGGTCTCATAGTGGTTATGAGTTGGGCTGCTAATTGCAAGGTCATCAGTTCAAAACCACCAGCTACTCCTCAGGAGAAAGAGGAGGCTTTCTACTCCCATAAAGAGTTACTGTCTTGGAAACCATTGGGACAGTCCCACCCTGTCCTTTAGGGTCCCTATGAGTCAGAATCAACTTGATGGCAGTGACATTTTTGGTTTTGTTGTTTGGAAAATTGCATGAATGTTTATGCATATATGTGTAATACAAACTATGATCATGAATTCACAGAGGGTCTCAATATTATCCATTCAATTTGAAGTAGTTTATGTTAAAATTCAAAGAACTTATTAGTTGATTCATTAAAGTTTATCAAATTAAAGGGAAACCCATTTACACTGCCAATATGTTGTTCAAAAGCAAATGCCAATGAAATCACATTTATAACATATTTTTTAATGTTACTCTCAGAAGTCTTCCATTAAGAGAGACATTTGATTACTTTTTAACTTCCACAAGTTTTGTCTGTTTGAAAAACCTGGAAGTCTAATATCTCTTAATTTATTCTTTTTATTAGATCAGGAATCATTTGAGGCACTCAGCCTTGATCCTTACTGGAACGACTACTTTTATCACCATTCTGCCTTTAGATTTAGCTCTATGAGCAGTCTACGAGGTATGAGCTTTCTAGCTTACGTTGTTATTCTTGTGTTGTTGCATTTCATAGATAATGAAATATTTGTCTGTTCTAATAAACATTTAATATAAATTAAAGATATTTAATTGTAAATTTATGAAACAAATTTTAATAATTTGATAAAAACAGAGGTAGTGTAACCTAGTACATTTATTGAATTTGGTTGAGATATATATATGTATATATTTGCATTTGCTTGATTTTCCATTTCATAGAACATAAGATGTGACTTACAAAACATTTTATGCTTGAGATGTTGAGTAGTAGAATGTCATATATAGTCTTGTAATCCCAAAGAAGCAGTTGTATATGTCCTACATGTAGGGTCACTAGAAGTCAGAATAGATTTGATGACAGTGAGTGAGTGCATAACCTTTATCCAGCTGCATGTGAATGCTGCTGCTTCACTCCCCAGTAGCAGGTTTTCTGTGAATCATCCCAGTCTCAACCTAAATTTACCAACATTTTGTGCAACGTATGACCAAAGAACATGAGTATAAATAATATCTGCACACATTTCATGAGTTTTCTTTTGAAAATTTCAGTTTCTTTGCATTTATGAAGTTTTTAAATAAAACCGAATTCTGTATAGTTGGAGCTTGAACTAGATTACAACTTTAAACATTGACTTTTTCCCATTGCAAAATGCACGCACACCCTGTTTGTTCCACTAAGGAAGGAAAATCTTTTCTAAGGGTTTTCTTCCTTAGAATGAATTCCAGACTGTATTATAGTTAGATACTTTTGGGGGTTCATTGCTCTTTTGCTAACATTCATAACTAATGACATGAAGCAGACAGGAGGAAAACCAACAGTCTTCTTGTCAGTGAAGAAGCTTTACTTAGCCAGATCTCTATTTTAAATCTCATTCTCTCCCACATATTTAATTAAGGCAAGTAGCCAAAAATGAGACCAAGGTGTAAGTGAATGTTGAGTTCAGAAGACACCCTAGAAAGTCAACACATGTTGAATACTTGCAGTTATTTTTTTCTCTCTTATTGAGAAGCAATCAAATGGTACTACAAATTTTGATCTGTACCATTTTTTTCCGGATCCTCTGCAACATTTTAAAAACGAGTTGGTGGGCGCATAACATTATTAGAGTTGATTTTAACTCCTTGCAATCCCATGTGACACAGTATAACTGCCTGTAGCATTCCCTAGGCTGGAATCTTTATAGGAACAGATCTACAGGCCATTCTCCCGCAAATACTAGAATTAGGTGCTATTTTACAAATCTACATATATGTAAAATTGGATGTAAGCCTTTCAGAAAGAAGTCAAGATACAGAGATTGAGCTTTAGACTTACTGTCAGAAAAATCTGTTCTGAGTTTGGCTATAACATGGGCAAGCTGTATTCGTTTGAACCTTCCTGGACTCCATTTTGAACATTAACTTATCAATTTTACTTAACAGGTTAATTTTATACAAACACAATTGTGTGTGTGAAAAGAATGTTAAATAAAATTTTATATGAAGTTAATAGCATTATTTGTACAAATGACTATTTGCTCCCATCAAGATTCACAGTCTTACAAATCGTATATAAAGTTGCTATGAGTGAGAATCAATTTGATGCAAGTGATTTGGATCTGATTAATTAGAAATTCTGGTTGTCAATGATTAAGCTGCTTGGCTGCTAACTAAATGGACAGAGATTTAAATCCACCAGCCAAGTCACAGGAGAAAGAGAAATGGAATTGTAGGAATACCAGCTGGCTCAACGTCTCAGCAAAGACTGGTGCCTACAGTTAGTTAGCCCTGATGTACTTGGGTGGAGAATTGGGACATTGAACATGCCTTGGGAAGACAGTGAGGAATCTCGTCGTGTTGAAGATACAGGGAGAATGGCACTCTTCTTGAAAGTTCTTTCCCCCAAAATTCCACTGGCATTCACAGTAAAGACTGGAGAGGCTCCTCAGGAATCACTCTTGTTCCGAAGACTTGGAAAAGAAGAAAAGCAGCTTCTCTGGAGGAAAAGAAAGGCAGCTACTCTAAAAAAGCACGCTGTGAAGTTCTTCCTGAACTCTTCTCCCTATACAAGCGGGTTCCAGAAGATTTGTGGGGAAAATTCAGTATATTTTTCAATTTTTCCACAGACTGTAAAACAACCCTGTATTCTTTATGGAACACATACCTTAACCTTATTAAAGTCTGCACACTTGGTATTGCCATGAGTTTGAATCCATTTGACAGTAGCTAACAACAATGGAAAGAACAACATACTGTAGCATATAGACTATTCCAGAACACTCATGTCAGCTGGGGGAAAGGAAAAAGATGAGTGAGAAGTCTATTACTGCTGAGGTCCAATACTACGACCTCCCTTTTGACCTATTTCATATTTGTTCCTGTTTTTAATATTTTTGATGTAATATTTTTCCCTCTGTTTTATATTATCATTGTTGGATATATTTATTTGTTTATGTTTTGTGTCTTTTTCTCTATATGGAATCCAGAACAGGTAAATTTACAAAGACTGGATATGTCAATAAAATGGTAAATTTGTATGAAGGAAAAAAAAAAACACCTGGATTTCCTTTTGCATTTTGGTACCAAAGAAAGCTAATACAAAATTGTTAAAACATGCTTAAACAGTATCAAGTTTGAGGCACTTAGAAGGATAAAACATAAGACCGAAAGAACCCCTATCAGCGCAACATGAATTCTGCTAAAGTTGTATAAAGAAAAAATAACAAATTTATGGTGAAGCTTAGATGGAAGATGGTGAAATCATTGATGCTTTATGAAAACGTATGTGAACAATGTAACAAAGAAATTAGCAGTTTACAAATGGGTAACTTGTTTTAAGAGCCCTGGTAGTGTAGTGGTTAAGCATTGGGCTGTGATCTGCATGGTGGACAATTTGAAACCATCAGCATCTCCGTGGGAGAAAGACTGGGCTTTCTACTCCCATTAACAGTTACAGTCTCAGAAACCCTCAGGGGCCCACTATGGGTCAGCATTAACTAGTTTGCAGTGAGCTTGGTTTTAGAGACAGTATTCAGGATGAAGCCCACAGAGTTAGAATATCCACATCATTTTTATCTAGAAAAAACAATCATGTCCATGCTCTAATTGAAGTGGACCTAGATTAACATGAGAAACAATAGCCGTGGACATCTCCATTGGTTCACTCAACACGAGTCTGACTGAAAAATTGTAAGTTGCGTCAACTTAAAACTATTGTGCCCAGATCAGCTACAAACAAGCACAGAGCTTTCAATAAAAATTTTAAACCAGTGAGATCAAGATTCTGAAGCATTTCTTGGAAGAATCCGATCAGATTGAACCAGTACAATCCTGAAGACAAAACACAATCACAAAGCAAGAGATGGAAGTGGTTCAGTCAAAGCAAAAGTAGACTAGTGAAAAGTTCACGCAACAGTGTTTTGTGTTTTTTAATGCTCAAGGTATTTTGCTGTTTAGTTTCTGGAGGGCCAAAGAACAATAACATGGTTATTTTGAGATTGATTTGAGAAAATTAGCCAAAGCTTTAGCTGGAAAATGCCCTGGAAAGATTTATCAAAGGGTCTTCTTTACCAGAATAATGCCACTGCTCATTCCTCTCATCAATAAGGGCATTTGGGGAGAGTTTTGATGGAAAAGCATTAGGCACCCACCTTACAGTTCTGATTTGATGTCTTCTGACTTTTTGTTTCTTAGTCTTAAAACTAAAAACATAAAAATCTCTTTTAATGACATCCATTCTTCCTCGGTTAATAATGCTAAAGAGACTGTATTGACATGATTAAATTCTCAGTACCCTTTAATCTTTAGGAATAGACTGGTTTGTATCATTGCTTAACAAAAGTGTTTTGACCTTGACAGAGCATTGTTGAGAATTAAAGTTTATATTCTTATTTTTTATCTTTTAATTCCATTTTTTCTATGAAGTTTTTTTGGGACTAAACATATGTAAGGCATAAGACTAGAATTACCAGAGGAACAATAAAATAGGGGATCAGGGGACATGGTACCAGCATAACAATAAGGCTTAATAAGAACAACAGAGAATACTGTCCTTACAAATCCTACTACCAGACTGACAAGCCCTCAAGCATCTCTGAAAGAGTCACAACAGGCAGACCCACTATTGAGGTACAGGGAGAAAATATAAGAGAGCACATCAAACATTGAGAAAAATGTACTGACACACTAGCCCCACACTAAGTAAAATGTACCACTCTCAGTAATAACAACAAATTGAAGCATACAAAATGCAAGACTAAATATATATGTAACAACACACGAGAAAAAAAAAGTCATCAAAATCAAACTGGCATAACACATTTGTTGGAACTGACTGGTAGGCTATTCAAAATAATGATGACTGTGGTGGTGCTATTGGGTAAACTTTGTACTGTGAATACTTAAGGTTGGTGGTTCAAACCCACCAGCCACTCCACAGGCAATAGACGTGGCTATCTATTTTGTTCACGATTTACGCCCTAGGGTCACTATAACCTGGAATTGACACAATGACCATGGGTTTATGACTGATACGGTTAAATTTTGAAAAGCTGGGCCCCATGAAAGATTAGATGGGTAATTTCAGCAGAGAGATAGAAGCTATATGAGAACATTTGTAACAGTGTTCATTCATTTTTAAAGAAACATTATAATTTTGTAGACAACTTTTTTCTTTTTAAAATCTTAGACTGATTAACCAAATGATATTTTATGCCATCTCCTTTAGCCAGTCTGGTACATTTTTTTTTAAATCCTATAGTAAAAAATATAAATGTTAAATCTCACATTATGTTTATTTTTGTATGGATACAAATAATATCAGGCTCTAATTCCACCATAGCTATTACATTGTCAGTAAGGTTAATTAAAATCTTCTGTCAACTTAGAGCAGAAAAAGTCTAAGAATAACAAATATGTTAGCTAAGAAGCATTTAAAATGAAAATAAAATTACATCTGTCAAATATAATCAGAGCTCTATCTAATATGTCAAAAATCCAATTACACCTGAACTGGAATTGTTATCATTTTTAAAGCTGTTATCCATGTATACATTTCATTCCAAAAGTAAGATAAATGGATACAAGTTGTCATCATATCTGTGTATGGTAAATAAGGACACAAATTATCTACTACCACCAGTTCTATGGGAAAGTTAGAACTTAATATTGCCAAAGGGGTTAGATTTACATTTTTTCAGTTACTGTATAGGAGGGAAATGATAAATGCATTTTATAAAAAATCCACTCTAGGATTTTCATATTTAGAGTAGACAAGGCACTCAACACCTTTTATTATAGATGCATATACTTATATTCAGTTTTTATTTATATAGTGCATTAGCTTTAGTTGTGCTTTGTGTGTGTGAATTCGAGTCGCTATATGCAATTTCCTCTCCTTTAGCAATTGGGCAATCCTGGGACCTTGTCCCCTTGATAGGTGCAGAAGGAGCCATCACTGAATGGTGCTCATTGTATCACATTTAAATGCCACTGTAATACTAACCACAGCTTCTATCGGGAAACATACTGCTACGAGGGAAAGGAAAATAGCAGGGTGTACAGCTTTCAGTAAAGCACTCCTTTTCTGGGTGTATTAGAAGGCTTTCCACATAAGACCCTCGTTTTTGTGGAGGAAAAAAAAAAGCTGGCCCCAAAAGATCACAAACTGATTAGAAATGACAGAATTGTAGACGTGGAGAACAAATAACTGGTCTAAGTTGTTCAGGGATAGTGAGTGGAGGAAGTATTGGGTTTGACTACTATTGGTCAGAAATGATCCTTGTGATGGAAGTTTTCTATCTTTTGACTATGTTAATGTAAATATTATGGTTATGATAATTGTGTTATAGTTTTGCAATGTGTTACCGCTGAAGATAAATGGATAAGGAGTGTAAGGCTTTAATTTCTTACATCTGCAGATGAATTAATTATCTCTCATATTTTGATATTGGGAAGAATGAAATTCTATAATAAAAAAGATAAAGACATGTTTGACTTGTGAAATACTAATTTTTAAAGGATAAAATATGCATCATTTATTGCTGATTATCAGAGATGAACTGGAAGAGCTCTAGTTTAGGATTTATAAAAGAGACATTTAAGTTTGTTTTCCTTTACGAGAAATAATTACCATGTCTCATAATGTTAATGTTAACATATCAAATGTAGTTTGACAACTAGTAAGAAAAATGATTTTGGGAAAAAACACGATGCTTTTAAAATTGCTCTTGTTAGATTCCATTGAGTCAGTTCTGATGCATAGTGCCCGCACGTACAGCAGAACAGAGCACTGCTGCCTAGTCCAGCACCGTCCTCACAGTCATTGCTGGTTGACAACGTGTTACTGGTTTTGACTTGATGACAGCTCACAGCAACCACAATGTATGAATTGGAAAATATTTTCAAGAACTCATTTTATGATGTATATTGCTGCTTGATAGAAAGCAGTCAGGTTTCCAGAAAATTATCTTGAAATTTATTACATTCTGCTGGCAGCAGAACAGAGTTTTCACATTTTTTATAAAACAGCCTTCCTATTTTGTCTAATGACTAATTTTCCACCCAAATGAACTCAGATTGCAGTCATAAAGATTTGTAATTATGATTTATAGCATAAAGCAGGTGGATTTCCTGCCTACTCAGTGAAGTTCCTGAATTTATTTTAAAATACAAATCAACTTTGTGTTACGCAAAGATGGCTAACTGCCTGCGCTTCAGCAACTATCATCTGAAATTTAGACCTACTTTTTAGGGTCGCTATGAGTCAGAAGTGACTCGATAGCAGTGAGGTTTTTTAGTATATCATTAGAATATTCCGATGAAAAGAACAGAAATGGAGTCTATTGAAAATAATTCACATGGGCCTGGGTTTATGTAATGGATCCCAAACATAGTACAGTTTTCCTTTTCTGTTATTTCATGCAGTTTGCTTGGCTTCAAAAATATAGGTAAATACTATGACATGAGGAGGACTTAATAGATACCTAGCAAGTTCTAGAACATTGGGCATTTGTGTACCTTGAGGATGCTAACTTTGTCATTTTAACGTAATGTAATTCAAAGGGCACTTAATTCGTAAGGGCAATCTGTTGAGAGGCCTGATAAGGCATTTAAATAGTTGAATACAGAAAATGATCTGACATGTAAACCCCACCTAGTTTACCATTAAAGTTAAATACTATTGAGTAAAATTTTATGATAAAAGAAACCTTAGTAAACTTTTTTTTTTAATTACAACTTTTCAGGACACATGGGATTGCCACGAGTCAGAATAGAGTAAAAAGCAACTGGTTTGTTTTGAATTTCTCATTCTTCTCAAGAGAACCTTCATGCATCAGGAAAAAATGTGTTTTTTTTAACATAATTGGAGACACTTAAGGGGAAAATAATGAAGCATATTTCTAATTTTGCTTATTGAAGAATTGGTTTTGAAATGATTTGAACAAAACATGTAATCACTGAAGAAAATAAGTGATAATTTTCTGTTTCCTAAAGGTATATTTCACAAATATTTTCTACATTAACATATTTTGTGTTTTACAGGGCTTGTACTGTTTCCCAAAGGAAGTATAGATATTCCAGTGTTATTTGTCCCTCGAAGTATGAGATTATATAAAACAATGGTCATCGTTCAGGTGCTGCGAGCAAATGGGAAATATTGGTCGGTTGACAATTTTGATGAGTTGGATGAGGAGACAATAAGGTAGCATTTAAATAAGAACATTGATGAGAAATTATTTTAACTGACAATGATATGATGGGCTGCTTATACATATTAAGCATATGCAATTTAAAGTTCATGATCTCATATTCTTTGACGTGTTGAAATGTTTATGCACAGGTGAGGGAATATATTTGTTTTATGTGTATAATATATATTATTGCTGATTTGAAATTCAAAGGGATGACATTATTAATCATGAGATTGAATCAGAGTCAGAGAAAGGCCATGAAACATTTTTGATTGTGAAAATAATGACTACTCAGACAAAAAATAACCAGAATACAGAGAACAACCTGGAACAGGTTGTCTTGACAAAGAACAAGTAGTCTCTGTCCTTTCCACTAATTCCATCTTAAATAATTTCAGATATAAGGCAAATATTTCAGTTCCCTTTTAAATGCTTTTCCTTATTATTGCCTTTTATTATCAGTATCTTTATAAAGCTGATCATTGAACATCTGTGAATGAATATTTGAGAATGATAACATCAACAAATTACAGGCTGCAACATTGTATATACTACTAACATCAGACATACCATACAAAAAAACACACCAAAATCATTGTAAGTGAAGGTTGTCATCATTCTAATATGTTGTAAGTCGAGGAATACCAGTGAGGACACTGTGTCAGGTGGCTATGACGTCCTGTCGTGACTAAAGGATGCCATGTTATTGCCAGAATGCCAGTTACTTACATCCTCTTTGCCTAGATGAAATTTAAGCAAACCCCAGTAATGGTGCAAGATTTAAATGCTTCCTTTTCTCTTAGGTTTCATTCAATAAAAGTCCAGAAAGTGTTATTAAAAGGAAATACTTGCTTAGTGCTATATGTGCCGCCACTCTCCCCCACCCTCACCCCAAAAGCTGCTCTTTCCCTTGGGCTCACTATCTATTCTGCCATGCTTTTTGCCATTCAAATAGTCAGGATTGGCTACATAATGTGTAGGCCCCAGGACCAAATGATAATTAAGAGCTATTAAGAGAGATAAGGAATTGAAGACTTTAAACTTAGAAGGGAGGAAAAGAAAAAAAATATTCAGAATATAAAGGCAGTGATAAATTCATTGCCATTAAGTTGAAGAGTGCCACATCTTTCTCCCACAGAGCTACTGGTAGGTTCGGTTCAAACTGCCAGTTTTTGGTTAGTAGCCAAGTACTTAACCACTGTGCCATCAGGGCTCCTTCAACACAGTGATAGTACTACGTTAACAAAGCATGGGGTCCTTCTAAGTGCAAGTTCCTATGTGGTTGCACAGGGGCACACCCAGGAGGCTAGTCCTGCCAGCAGTTCCTTATATTTCATTTTTTAAAATCATTTTATTAGAAGCTCATACAACTCTTATCACA